TTGCCCGGGGGGGGGGGGGGGGGGAGAGTGGAGGAGGCTTCATGTGCTCCCCAGGCCAATCAGGGCCAGGGGGTGGGGGAATTGCATGAAGCTTCCTTCACCCTGTGAGGAGCCCATGGCATTTCAAAGTGCCACGTGTGCATCGCAGGGCGGGACGAGGCTTCTTGTGCTCACCCGCCCCCAGGCTCTGTTTGGCCTGAGGGTGGGGGAGTGTGCCAAGCCTCTTCCAGGGCACGGGTGCCTAGTGGGAAGGGGGGGCAAAGGTGCTCCCCCATCCCCAAACCAATCATGGTCTGGGGGTGGGTTGCCCCACTGCTTCCCATTTAGGCCCCACCCCTTCACTCATTTTTTTAAGTGGGCCCCAGGCAAAAATTATTGCCCACCTCTGCTCTAGCAGTTAGGAATAAATTATGCCAGTAATTGACTTCACTTAAGTAACTTACATACATGTATTCTATAAATCGTTATTCTCTCTCCTGTAATTCCAGAATAACATTGGATACCTTGCCCAACACCAGCTTTTTGATCAGGTAAATCTAAAAATGAGTGGTTTTTTTAGCTTGCTGTAGAGACAAGGTAATATCTTTTATTGAATCAACAATGTTGGTGATGGCTAGTCTGCACTAGAAGCACTACATCAGTGCAGCAGAGCCATAGCATGGCTGGTGAAGACACTCTCTGCCTTTCAGATAATTTCTCCAGTTTGTCCAGATCATTTTTAATTATGATCTTATCCTCCAAAGTACTTGCAGCCTCTCAGCTTGGTATCATCTGCAAACTTTATAAGCACACTCTCTTTGCTAATATCTAAATTGTTGATGAAGATACTGAACAGAAGAGGTCCTAAAACAGATCTTTGTGGGACCCCACTTGTTATGCCCTTCCAGCATGACTGTGAACCAGTAATAGCTACTCTCAGAATGATTCTCCAGCCAATTATGTACCCACCTTATAGTAGCCCCATCTAGGTTGTATTTCCCTAGCTTACTAATAAGAAAGTCATGCAGGACCATATCAAATACTTTACTAAAGTTTCAGTATACAACATCCACCACTTCCCCCTTATCCACAAGACTTCTTATCCTATCAAAGAAAACTATCAGATTGGTTTGACATGAGTTGTTCTTTACAAATCCAAGCTGGCTGTTACCTGTCACCTTATTATCTTCCAGATGTTTGCAAATTCCTTAGTTATTTGCTCCATTATCTTTCCTGGCACAGAAGTTAAGCTGCCTGAGCTAACATGAGAGGTTAAGGAAAATAATTTTTCTTGCTCTTCCCTGTAACACCGTTTTAGATAGTTGAAAGCTGTAATCATGTCCCCTCTGCCTTCTCTTTTCCAGACTAAACAAACCCCGTTCTTTCAGTCTGCCCTCAGATCTTGTTTTCTAGACCTTTAATCACTTTTGTTGCTCTTCTCTGGACCTTGTCTGTAGTTGAATAGCTTTCTGCTGCTCTGCTAAGATGCATGCATTACTACCACACTGACTCATGCTTAGAATTCTCATTGCCCTGTTTTCTCTCTTTCCTCTGGATTTTGGCTTCCTTCACCTTATGCTTTCTCCACTTACATTGTAAACTCTCAGGCCAGGAACATTGTCTGTACAGTGCTCAGCGGCGTGGTGTCTTCATTGAGTGCAGCCTTTGCATGCTGTCATAATGCAAATAATTCATGAGCAGGCCTCAGCCCTTGGGTGGGCAATAATTTTTGCCTGGGGGCCACTTCTGTTTACAGATGCCCCAGAAGGGGTGGGGTTACCCACCCCCAGACTATGATTGGTCTGGGGGTGGAGGAGCCCCTCTGCCCCCCCTTCCCACTAGGCACCCATGCCCTGGAAGAGGCTTGGCACACTCCCCCACCCTCAGGCCAGTCAGGGCCTGGGAGCGCGGGAAGCCTCCTCCCGTCCTGTGAGGAGCACGTGGCACTCTGAAGTGCCAGGGCAGGGCGAAGGAAGCTTCACGCAGCTCCCACTGGCCCTGATTGGCTTCCAAGTGCTTCCCGCGCTCCCCCCAGCCAGTTAAAGCCTGGGGCAGAGGAGTGCCCAAAGCCTTCTCCGCTCTGCTCCCGCCCTGCGAGTGGAGCCGCAGAGGGGAGAAGGCTTCGGGCGCTCCCCAGGCCCTAATTGGCTTGGGGGCGGGAGAGCAGCAGGGCCTCTGCGGGCCGGATCCACTTGGATCTGGCACACGGTGGACCTTTTGCCCACCCCTGCCTCAGCCCATGAGTAAAGATACTTGTGACAGTTATGGGAGAGGAAGGAGATGGGAACAAGGGAAGAAGGAAAACAAATAGTATCAGTAAAAAAGTCCTAAATGCCGCAGGGAAGTGGAAAGAAAAACGAAACCTTTGGGCTACATCTACACTGCAGGCTTCTTGCACAAGAACTGTTTTGTGCAAGAGTTCTTGTGCAAAAATTTTTGCACACGAGCACATCCACACTGCCATGTGCTTTTGTGGAAGAGATGTGCCTTTGCGCAAGAGCGCCCATGGCAGTGAGAACGCTCTCTTGCACAAGAAAGCTCTACTGGCCATTTTAGCCATAGGGGTTTCTTGCGCAAGAAACCCCTGTTGCCTGTCCACACTGCCCTCTTGTGGAAGAGCTCTTGCGCAAGAAGGCTTATTCCTTGTGGGGAGAGAAATAACTCTTGTGCAAGAAGCCCTGTTTTCTGACGCTTTACTGTAAATTTACTTGCGCAAGAACACACATGCAGTGTAGACACTCCAAGTTTTTGCGCAAGAACAGCTGTTCAGTGTTGCCTATTCCCAGCCTCTGAAAGACACTAGGAACACCATTCCTGCCCATATTGGCTAATACAACAGCTGTTGATAGACCCAACCTCCATGAACTTATCTAGCTCTTTTTTGGAACCCTGTTAAGGTCCTTGTCTTCACAGCTTGGCTGTGCATTGTGTGAAGAAAAACTTCCCTTTGTTTGTTTTAAGTCTGCTGCCTGTTAATTTCATTGGGTGAAATTAATTTTATTTGTGATGTTGTTGGTTATTGGAAGTAGATCCCAGAACTGAAACAGGATATTTGCATCCCTGATTACTGCAGCTTGGGGGAAGGAGAAGAAGATGACATCACCATTAATGCTTGGTTTGGTCCAGAGGGAACCATCTCACCTCTTCATCAAGATCCACAGCAAAATTTCTTAGTCCAGGTCTGTACACTACTTTTCTAATGACTGCTTAATGCAAGTGTAACTAACGGTATAGCTAGAATGTACATACGTCCTAGAAATGAGGGTAGCTAAAGGTTTGATTGATAAGTGGCATGTGTGAATAGCTTATTATGTCTCTGTGTTCACCACCTTTGCATCTCAACATCTGACAGCTGTGAATAAAAGTATGCTGTCAATGGCCTGCAAGGAAGGAAAGCATTATTTATCTCCATTTTACAGGTGAAGAACTAAGACACATAGAGGGGAAGTGAGTTTTCCATGGCAGAGCTGGGAAGAACTCATCAGATTCCCTCAAGCTGAGATATTATCCATAAGAGCTTCCTTATCCTCTCTACGAGGTAGAGTTTTGAGTTAATTTATAGCAATAGTGCAAATAAAACCAGCAGCCCTGATTATTTTATTAAATAGTCCACAGGTTGGCAAAAGGGCCTCCGCAGGCCGGATCTGGCCCATCAAGCGAGTTGATCCAGCCTGTGAAGGCCCTGCCGATGCCCCCGCCCCCAGGCCAATCAGGGCTTGGGGATAGGAAGATCACATGAAGTCGCCTCCCACCCTGCAAGGGGCTTAGCTGGCGGTTGACTCTAAGCATGGCGCTCCTTGCAGGGCGGGGGGCACGGAGGGAGACTTCACGTGTTTCTCTTCTCCAGGCCCTGATTGACCTGGGGCAGCACGCGAAGTCTCCCACTGCCAGAGACACAGGTACCTAGGGGGAACCGCCAGCTGTTCTCTCCAAGAGGGGAGAGAGAAGGAACAAAGACTTTGCACACTCCCCCACCCCCAGACCAATCAGGGTCTGTGGGTGGGAAAGCACAGAAGTGTCCTGGCCCCGCCCCTTCTACCTGAGGCCCTGCCCTTTCTGGGGCAGCCCGGGGCCACTTCAAAAATTTCTGAAGTGGCCCCCACTCAAAATATTGCCCACCCTGGAATAGCCCTTTGTATTTACATGAAAATTCAGTGTGTAAAGGGCGTTCTTCTCCCTGTAGGTTTATTAATGTGCCATCAGAGTCTCCAGTCCTGAACGAGCATGACACACACACGTGAAGACATACTGTGTGCCCAGAGTTTACAATTTTAAAATGTTTACCTGTGAGTTTGGAGACCAGCTGGAGACCTCAGAGTTGCTCTTTTCTCCTCTTCAACATCTGAGTCAGTGTACAAAGACAAATAACGCTATGGCTTCCAGATAACTGAGGCACTGGATATTTCTCTTCATTAATGAGAAGGGGTATGAGCCATACTTATCTAAGTCAGTTCCATTTCAATGAGAGATAGTGTTCTTTAGCACGTTTCTAAAAATGGCTGTTTAGATTTTCCATGCAGTTAAACAGCTGTCATGTTCCACTAGAGCAGGGTTTCCCATCTATGGGTTGCCATTACATTTCAAAAGGGTCCCCAAGTGTCTCCCCAGGTGGCTCTGCCCTCCCTCCTCCCCCCATTTTTGAATTGCCCTGGGTCACCAAATCTTACTGAATTGTCAAAATGGGACCCCGTCTGGAAAAGGTTGGGAACCGCTGGCCTAGAGGTAATTGCATTTTGGTAGGAAAAATTCTCTAATGTATGGCCCTTTGTGATGCATACTGGGATCTTTCTGGAGGAAAGGCTTGCATAGAGTCATGTTATGAGGAGAATCTGGATGCCTTGTCCTGCTCCAACCAGCCTTGTGCCATTTGAGCCTTGAGAAGAGAGTCTGTCTGTGAATGGGAAGTGATGTATTGTGGGCAGCAGGTGGCCTCATAACCCCAGGTTTACTTCAACTACTTCTTTTTCCCAGTATTTCCCAAGGCCTGGCTATGAGTGGTTTGGAATGGCACTGCAGATTGGTGGTGCATCCCAGCCAAGGGAGTGTGATATCAACACTTGATCAGTGAGAATGCCAGACAAGTTCCCATCGTGTGCAACACAGATACAGTAAATGAGAAGACCTGACACTCACTCACTCCATCACTTCAGATCCTTTGGAAAGTCCTGAATCATCATACCAACACTCTGGCCAAACTGTCCATGATGATATGTGGAGGCAATAACATAGTCAAGAAGGTGCCAATCCCTGGAAAGAGGGTGTCTCCAGGTGGTCCTGTATGTCTCCCTTTCTCTAAAGATAACCAGGCCATGTTCTGCACATTTGCTCAGGAGGAGGATACTGTTGGAACTTGAGATCAGAAGGAAGTCTATATCACAAGGGTAATGCATTAACCACTGTCTGTTGGATAGAGCATTGCCTTGCTAGGTCCATTGTGAATTTCCAGATTGCCTCCAAGCATCATAAGTAGGCAAAATCAATATGAAAAATTCATTGTTCAGTCGCTTCATGATATAGTGATTCAGGAGAAATGTCAGCAGTGTCTCCAAGAGACATTTGCCACCATGCCTACAGCTGTTGATGATGATGAACATTTCTGGAAGGGTTTAAAGGTTGCAATTCTCTCACCATATGCTGAGTCTATTGATTGTCATCTGCCATCATCAAGATTGGTTTAAGAGTGATGCTGAAATTCAGGGCCTTCTCAACCAGAAGAGAGAGAAGCTCATTGCATACAGCAAAACGAATTATCACAGCAAGAGAAGAAAGTCATACAAGCAACTTAAGGCTGAAATCCAAAGGGAAATCCACATAAAACAAGTGGTGATGAGAAAAGGCCAAGAAGGTTGATGCTGATAAACATGACACAAGGAGCTTTTTTGAAGCAATAAGGCCATTTACAGTCCATGCCCCCAAGATCCTCCTCCACTCTCAGCCCAAGATGGGTCAATATATTTTAAAAACAGCAAAGCCATCAATGCCAGGAGCATTTTGAGTCACTCCTGAACCATGAGTCAATTGTCTGATCCACTATTGAATCCATATCTCAACAACATGAGACTCTCTTGCTGATCCTCCCCACCTCCTCCCTTCATCCTTGCAGCAGTAATACAAGCCATCATGCTAACTAAGAATAAGGCAACAAGACTAGATGGAGTACCAGCAAAGTTTACACATTTGGAGGTGAACTGGTAAAGAAGCTCCACAGACTTTTCTTCAAATGTACGGAATATTTGAGAGTGTTTTGTGGGTGAATCTATCTGTCCGTGAGTCTTTGTTTGTCAAAAATTCCTACTAAATGGTAAGAGTTAAAATCACTAAATTCGGTAGGCAGCGTCCTCTTATCATAACTTAAAGCAAGGTCAAGTTTGGTTGTGCAAGGACATGTGCATGGAATGTGGTTGTTTTTCATCCAGCAGAAAGAGATGACTGTGATATACTCCACAATGACCACGGGGGCATCAAGCAAGCATGCCCCCATCTTCCCAATAGCCCCAGAGAGTTGTGGAGCAGCTGCCAGCTGGTCCAGGAGAGAGGTTCATGCTCCCCGCCCCAGAAAATTGCAGAGCAGCTGCCACCCAGACCCCGCCACCCTACCCAGGTCCAGGACAGCAGCTGCTGGCCAAGCAGCACAGCCCCCACCAGCCTAGCAGTTGGCGGTCGGACAGCATGGCTCCAGCTGCCCCAGCCTGCCCCAGGGAACAACCAGCAGTCAGGCTGGCCTGAGGAAGCAGCAACCATATGACCCCTGACTCTTGCATCCCCCTCTCCTGAGCCTCCCAACTGCACTCCCCATAGTCCCTGCCCTGAAGGACCCAAGCAACACTGGGTAAATCTTCCAAGTCTGGTGTAGTGAGAAGATTCCAGAAGACTTGAGAAATGCCAACACTGTAACAATCTGATAGGTTGGAATGGGAAATTATCAAGGCAGGGCCTTGCTATCTACAAGAGAGACAATTCTCATCCATAACCTCTTAACCAGTTACTGCCCTTTGCTGAGGAAATATTGCTGGAATCTCAGTGCAGTTTCAACCAACATATTTGTTGCCCTCCAAATCCAGGAAAAGTTTTCTGAGCAAAATCAAGACCTGCACATGGCCTTCATCAATTTGACAAAAGCTTTCAACTCTGTCTGCTGCAAAGTCCTGTGGGAGATACTGGCCAGATTTGGCTGCCCCTCAGAATTTTAGAGATGGACCCTTTTTATCAAAACTGGGGGTAAGAAAGATTGAGTTATTGCTCCAGCCCTGTTCTCCATCTAGTTAGCAAATTTTGGTCCTCATTAAAGCCTTTCTTCCCAATGGAGTAGATAGTCAGTACAGAATGGATAGGCAGCTTTTTAGTCTTCAACATCTCCATTCCAAGCCTAACATCCACCATTAGTGATCTTCAGTATGCTGGTGACTGCCATCCTTGCACACACTGAGAATGACCTTCATCAAAGCCTAGGACTCTCTCTGAATATCAAGAGGACTAAAGTGTTCTGTTAGCCTGTCTCAAGCCTTGAACATGACCCACCACAAATCACCATTGAGAGTCAGACTTTGGAGACAGTTGAGCACTTCTGCTACCTCGGCAGCAAATTCTCCCAAAATTCAAAAATCAACAGTGAGATCCAGCACAGGGTCCAGTACACAAAGCCTTCCCTGGGGAAACTTCAAGGATCATGACCTATGGAAGGACACTGAGATCCAGTTCTCTAAGGCAACTATTATTCCTAAACTCCTTTATGGCTGTGAAACCTGAGTGACCTATCAACAGAATCAAGACCTCAGAAGTCAGAGGTGCCACCAACAATGCCTGTGGAAGAACTTTGCATCGAGTGGAAAGATCGCTACTCCACCACCAGCACCAACGATCCTCGTGCACCAATTCTTCTGGTCTGGATGTTGTGTGTGGATGCCAGACTCTTGCCTCCCAAAACAAGTCCTCTACTCTCAGCTCACCCAGGTCCAGGATCCCATGGTGGTGAAGGAAACACTACAAAGACAGATGGAAAACATATCTCAAGAAAACCGATGTGGACACAAGCTGGGAAGGACTAGCTGCCAGTGGTGATGGTGCCACATCCTCTCATCAGGCTGAGGCCCACTTTGAAGACAAGCACCTTGCCCTCGAGGCTGGAGAGAGAAGGAAGGAAAGAAGTTTTCCCACATGCAGTTGACCTGCCAGAAAACGTCTGTACCTACTACGGGAGGATCTGTGATTCCCGGATCAGACTCCTGAGTCATGTCAGGACTCATATGTAAATCTGTGGTAGAAATCGTTCTTCAATGAGGGATCGCTGATGATGGAGACAGTTATCTATTACTAACAGAGCACAAGTGCCTTAGAGGATTGATAGCCTAGAAACTTTCATTTGGCCTGCAAGTTAATTTTTAACCTCATCTCTGCAACTCAGAGCAGTGTGGATCAGTCTCTCTCCCAATTAAATATCATGATGTAGAAAAGTAATTTAATGGCGATTGCAAAATTAGACATTGTAGAGTATGAGCAAGCTCAATACCAGCCTGCTGCTACCTGGAAAACTCCCTTTTCTCCTCTTGAATGTAGTAGTACTCAGCTCAGCAGGCACAGCTAATTCAATATCGTTTTCTATTAACCATCCTTTCAATGCAGTTTCCTTCCAGCTATGTAAAACACTTTGGAGCCTGGGTGCCATATCATTAAAAAGGAATAGAAGAAGAGCTGCCTTACCTTCTTTACAAGCATCTCCCCAGTATTCTGAACATCTTACCTCAGGGATCGGCAAACTTTTTGGCTCAAGGGCCACATCTGGGTAGAACTGCATGGCGGGCCATGAATGTAGGACTGAGTTGGGATGCAGCCTCTAGCTAAGTGTTGCTTCTCAGGCAGCTCCAGGGGGCAGGGCAGTGGGGCTAAGGCAGGGTCCCTGCCTGCCCTGACTCCACATAGCTCCCAAAAGCAGTTGGATTGTCCCATCGTGGTTCCTGGGGGATGGAGATGAACTCAGCGTGCTGCTGCTATCCGCAGGCACCACTCCCACAATTCCGCTTGGCCGTAGTTCCCAGCCAATGGGAGCTATGGCGTGGCTGTGCCTGCACTGAAACCCCTCCTGATTCCCCCACCCCAGTGTCCGCAGGGACATGACAGCCACTTCCAGGGGCAGCATGGGACCAGCAGGAAGAGAGCCTGCCTTAGCCTCACTGAGCCATCAGACTAGTAATCCCACAGGCCTAATTAAAAGCGCTAATGGGCCAGATGCTGCTTACAGCCCATAATTTACCCTACCTCTTTTACCTGTGGCATGAAGCCAGGTACAAAGGCTACAACCCAATGTGATCTGTTTTATTCATTATATAGTACATTATTTGTTCCTTAGTAGCAAAAATCATGTTTTGCCCAGGATCTGGCAATCTGTTGTATTCTACTGTTAAGTGCTTGTCATGATACAGGGACAGAACATTAGACTGATCAAGTAATTAATTGAAGTTAAACACTATTTCAGCAGGTTGTGCAGATTAATGACAGATTGGAAATGTATATCCCTCTACCTGCAGGTAATTGGAAGAAAATACATCTGGCTATGTTCTCCACAGGAATCAGAAAATCTATATCCACATGAAACCCAACTTCTTCATAATACCAGCCAGGTAAATGACTGCCTGCACTCTAAACATTGATAATCTAATTTTAAATAATCAAGCCATCTTTGAATCTGAAAACAAATTGTGTGTTTTGATTTTAGGTGGATGTGGAGGAACCCGATTTAGTTAAATTCCCCAAGTTTGAACAGGTTAAATTTCAAGCTTGTATTCTGACACCAGGACAGGTTCTGTTTATTCCAGTGAAATACTGGCATTATGTACGATCTCTTGATGTCAGTTTCTCTGTCAGTTTTTGGTGGTCATAAGCCATTATTCAATGTAATGTAATATAAAAATAGCAGCATGCTGTATTCTTGATTAGTGAAAGAATGTTCAGACCTTCAACAGAGGAAGGCTTTTCATAACATGAGAATGTTCTCATTATCTTCTGCTTAAAGTGCAGAGCTGAGTTAAGAAATTAAATTTTTTCAGCTGCCCAATGGAGCGAGAAATCTAAACAAAGAATCAGAAATGAAGTAGCTGCAGCAGCCATGGTTTTGTGGCTGTTTCCAATACAAATTCCTAATAAAGAGCATCCATCGAATGATCAGCTCAAGTATACATCCCAAAGCAAGACTATATATGGGCATGATCATGATGCTGGGCTGTCCAAGTGAAACTGAAGGGAGCACGTGACCCATTGTAAGTTTACCATCCATCTGAATGTAATAGTTGCATAGTCTAGACTTTCATTGTGATGGATAATAGTGATGCAAAATTTCAGAACATAAAAAGGAGCCAAGCCATAAAGCCAGGCAACAGTCCCCTGTGCAGTAAAATCTGCTGCTAATGAGGGCTGGAAGTGCCATTCTCTGTGGATTCAGTTATCAAGCTCAGCTGGAGTACGTGTTGTGCCCTTTGCAGGGAGATGGACTATATTCCTTTCATTGCCACTAGCAACTAATTCATGACCACCCTCCCTGGTGCAGTTGGCAGGGTTTGGTGGTTCTCTCCCTTCCAACCCATTGTAAGGAAACAGACTATTCTAAAATGATTTTTTAAAATAGCTGCTGGAGAAATACATTAATATACAAAACAGGGACACTTCGGTGACTTCATCTTCTGACCTAACAAAAAGCCCATTTGCTCACAGGAAAGATGAAGCTTCATTTGCTTGATTAAAACTCTGATATGCCTAATCATTGCAAATGCAGAGTTCTCTCTCTCACTCTTATGCCAACCCCAAATGCATGTTTGCTTAGAAGGAACTTTCACCATGAGCACTGGTGCACCGAACCAGGGAAGGAATCAGCATGCAGCATTTGGAATGCTCCTTCCCATTAGGATCTCCTCTCCCACACTAGGCCATATTCTGGGATATTATGTAAAAACAATGATAACCGCAAGAACCATGAGAGAGAGGCACAGCTTCTAGTGGGCTGAAAAGACAGCCCCCATGCTTCTGTGCCTGCAGAGCTGAGAGGCTGCAGGTGCTTTGAGATCCAAGAAACGAAAATGCAGCAGAAGTGATAACTTAGCATTATTTATTATCACCAACAATTACCAGGGAAGTGTGGTGTTAAAAAGAGGCTCGAGATGTTCCCAGCCCTTCCAAAAGCCTGAAATGCGTTTCTGGTGCCACTTTGTCAGAGATGCAGCCATTAAGAATGGATGTATATGTAAAAGCATCCTTTGTGAGAAGGGCTGGAACGAGGTGGACATGGGGTATTCATACTGAGCCCTGCCAGTGGCACTTCATTGAACTCAACCAGAATGACAGAATGGCTGACAAACCTCAATTTTGCATATTTAAAAACAATTATAAAATCCAAGTCTAAAGAGTTGCATAGAGCTCTCCTGTCTCAGTTGCACATTCAGACCTCTGCAGATGGACCCCTGCCCAGGACACCACTTAATTTGACAGGACTGGGTGCAGTGTCATGGTCTGTCTATGTGGCTCAGCGGGCATAATGCCCCATAGACAAACTGGCAATAGAGGTGATGTCCAAACACCAGCACAGCCTCCACTACAGCCATGCAACATTCTTCACAGCACTGCAACTGAACAGGGCCTTTGATCAGGGAGGCTAAGGTCAGGATAGTTATTTTCAAACTTCTAGCAAAGTTTCAGCAGAGCAAAAACAAACTCTAAAGTTGACTTGGTCCCTAGGTATCCTACTTTCAGAATGACACAGTTTACACTAACACCGAACTACACTGCAATTGGGCTTGTCTGCGAGAGAGTGAAGGGAAATGGTCACTAACTGAAGCTGCTCTTTCTAACGCCTCCTTGTCCCTGAGGCTGACGGTCCTCTCCTCTCTGTGGAGGCACTTGAAGACAGCTGGGAATCTGGCCGATTTATCTCTGTGGTAAATAAAAAATGCAGTGTTAGTGACCAAATACTAGTTTGTGGTGTTACTCTGACAATACTTTCATGAGCTCCAAATTCTCACCAAATGGCTAAAACTATGTAAACTTCTGTTTGCCACTAAAAAGGTCCTATTTCACTAGTCAAATGGGGGAGTTCTGAAAATGTTCTACTTCAACATAACTGAATATTTCTAGTTTTTTTCCTCACATAACATATTGCTGGCAGCAGAGGGTGTAGTACTTGGCGTAATAGCATAACCCTGACAGCAACAGGTGCACAAAATTACTAAAGAAAGAACGACTAGGTGAAATACTTGAGTTTCCAGTGAGTAAGCAAGTTCAATCCACTGTCACCTCATTGTGACTCCAGTAACTTAAGCATCACTATTCAGTATTTCAATCTGCACCCAGTATTATTATACAAGACTTTTTAAATTGATTGGCCTATTACCTGGAATCTCATGTGGCCAAAACTCATTGCAGTGGGGACAGTGTGGTTCAGTCTGGGCTTTGAAATACTTTCCAGCACAAGGCAAGTGCATTCCAATTCCACAGGTTTCACATATTTGACTCTGAAATGAGAAATGCTGCTGTTAACAGAAAGCAGTTCTACACAATATGTCACCTTTGGAATGAGCCATAGTCTGCCTTACTGACCCACAGTAAGAGCATTAACTCAAGAATTTTCCTTCATGGCCAGTGGGGGGAACCTTGTAAACAGAAGCTGGTCCGAGTTATGGGGAAATATGTACTTGAGCTGGGAAAGGGGCATTTATTGGGATCAGGGACGTAATGTAAAAATGTAACCCTGTAACTGGTAAAAGTCCTAGTGGTTACACACACTGCGGGCTCTGCAGTACACAACTTCAATACTTATACTGCAAAGCCTCCCCAGGAGCTGCTCCCGGGGAGCCAGCATGCAACCTGCATTGGAGGATGAGCAAGGCCCCCCACAGACAGGGACTCAGCCCCTCCCTGTGGTGGGCCCTGCAGGGCTGGAGCAGCCCGCTGCCTAAGCCCCTAATGATTAACCAGAATCGGTAAGCTTACCATCTACATCCCTAGTTGGGATGATAGAAAAACATCACAGAAAGGCAGCTTGGGAGCCAAAGCATGTTGGCACAGGTGGCTGGAAAAAGGGGTGTCAGAACAGCATGCCCCTTGGAGACGATTTGGAAAGGAGAAGTAGTTGCAAGAGGTAGGGAGCAAGGAAGGGGGGGTTAGCAGCTGAGAAGAGGCTCTCAGGCCCCAGCCATTCATCAGGAGGACAAGATGGGGGTACAACTGCCCAGCTCCCCAGTGCAGTTTGTGGACTTATTCTAGAGCTCTTGACACAAGCAATTCCAGAGTGTCCACTATCTAGAATAAAGATAGATGCATGTGCCAGACTGAGCCCAGTGACATAAAATAGCTAACAGCCATGCACATGTAAGAATAGGAAAGATTTGCCCCCAGCTCAGCTGACGGGGACAGGAGCCAGCATGGTAGATGGAGGTTTCTCACTGGCTGAGCTCATGTTCTCGAAGTTCATGTAGTATTTTCCAGTGACAGCAAGCCCACCCGCTTTGTTACCTGGATGGCGAGGCTACGACAGATGTTACATTTCCTCGCCAAGTCTTGGTAGTTGCTGAGGATGTATTGCTCCATCTCCATTATGCAACGAGTATGCAAGGTGTACTCCCCATCTCGCTGTGGGAACACCACCACCAACCGTGAGACTGGAATATTGTTTCTATGATTCAATCAACCTTTTTCTGACCTCTCTCTCTACCTTTTAGCAATAGCAAAGCTTGACATTCATTTCTCTTCAGCACCTGGCAGAGACCCATCACTGACTAATACAAAGGCAATTTCCTAATTCCACTCAAAGCACTGTATCTAATTAGCATAAAGTGGGAAAAAGCTCCCTTGTCTTTAATAAGCATACGTACCATGAAGAATACAGGTCCCTGCAAACATTTTCCCCATCCCCCTTCAAAGACCACATAGGGGACCTTAAGCCCTGCCATCCTGCACTTACATATCAAAGAGATGCTCCTAGACAAAGGTAGGACTCCACATAACGTACACCTTTGCAACTGGACTTCTCTGGCACAGCTCTAAAATACCTGAATTACTGAGAATTATCTCATGGTAAGAAATAGTCCCAGATTTTCTCCCATGTAATAAAGGGATAGACATTCCAAGGCACAAATGGCTTCCTGACTCCCACTGACTTTCAATCAGAATTGGGCACCTACCTGCTCTTTGTGTTGGAAAGTCTCCCCTAGCTCAAAGGAGCCAGGGGCAGAGGATGGTGTAGAGATTCAAAGTGAAACACCTCCCAGAGCAGAGGGTGAGCACAGCAACTGCACCACTTATGACCATGGTCACATCTGCTTGCCAACATAAAGGGGGGGACGTCATTCCAGCCCTTCTCTGGGGGGAGGATGGGGGGCTACATCAGCAGTGGCAAAACCATTTCCCGACTTCAGTGTTTAAAAGAGAGCTGCATGTGTTTAGAGTTCTCCAAGCACAGAGAATTGGGGGAGTGTTTCAGCATGTTTCACAGTCATACCAGGGTACAAAATATATCCGAAGGACAGAATAGGTCATGTTGGTGGGGGAGACATACTATACGTGAAAGAAAATGTAGAATCAAATAAAGTAAAAATCGTAAATGAGCCAAGATGTTATGTTCTATAGAATCTCTATGGATAGTAATTCCATGCTCCAATAAGAAGAATATAGCTGTAGGGATATAATATCAATGACCTGATCAGGACAGTGATAGTGACTGTGAAATGCTAAGGGAGATTAGAGAGGCTATCAAATTAAAAACTTGGATAATAGTGGGGGATTTCAACTATCCCCATATTGACTGGGTACACGTCACCTCACGACGGGATGCAAAGATAAAATTTCTTTATACCTGAAACGACTGCTTCTTGGAGCAGCTGGTTCTAGAACCCACAAGGGGAGAAGCAATCACCGCTTGGCAATAGTGACCATAAGGTAATAAAAGTGAACATCCCAGTGGTGGGAAAAACCCCTCAGCAGCCCAACACTGGCATTTAATTTCAGAAAGGGGAACTACACAAAAATGAGGAAGTTATTTAAACAGAAAGTAAAAGGTACAGACTCAAAAGTAAAATCTCTGCAAGCTGCATAGAAACTTTTCAAAGACGCCATAATAGAGGCCCAACTTAAATGTATACTCCAAATTAAAAAAAACAGTAAGAGAACCCAAAAAAAGTGCCACCGTGGCTTGGCTTAACCAAGTAAAAGAAGCAGTGAAAGATAAAAAGACACCTTTTAAAAAGTGGAAGTCAAATCCTAGTGAGGAAAATAGGACCATAAACTTTGTCAAATTAAAGTGTAAAAATATAAGAAAAGCCAAAAAGGACTTTGAAGAACAACTAACCAAAACTCAAAAAGTAACAGCAAAATGTTTTTTAAGTACATCAGAAGCAGGAAGACAGCTAACCAACCAGGGGGGCTCTTGGACAATCGAGATACTAAAGGAGCCTGCAAAGATGATAAAGTCATAGCGGAGAAGCGACATGAATTCTTTGCTTCAGTCTTCATAGCTGAAGATATTGGGAGATTCCCAAACCTGAGCTATTCTTTTGAGGTGACCAATCTGAAGAATTGTCCCAGACTGAGGTTTTGGAACAAATCGATAAACTTAACAGTAACAAGTCACCAGGCTCACACGGCATTCACCCAAGAGTCCTGAAAGAACTCAAATGTGAAATTGCAGAACTATTAACTGTGGTTTGTAACCTATCCTTTAAATCAGCTTCTGTACCTACTAATTGGAAGATAGCTGACATGACACCAATATTCAGACCAGTAAAACCAGTGAGTCTAATGTCAGTACCTGGCAAATTAGCTGAAACTATAGTAAAGAATAAAATTGTCAGACACATGGAAGAATATAATTTGTTGGGGGAAAAGTCCACATGGTTTCTGTAAAGGGAAATCATGACTTACTAATCTAGTAGAGTTCTTTGAGGAGGTCAACAAACATGTGCACAAGGGGGATCCCTCAAAGAACTCTAGTAGATAAGTAAGGCGTGATTTGTTATGGGATAAGAGGGACGGGACTCTCATGGACTGATAACTGGTTAAAAGAAAGGAAACAAAGTGTAGGAATAAATGGTAAATTTTCAGAATGGAGAGATGTAATTAATGGTGTCCTCCAAGGGTCCGTACTGGGACCAATCCTATTCAACCTGTTTATAAATGATCCAAAGAAAGGTGTAAACAGGCAAGTGGAGAGGTGTAACTGTGGGGGCTCCCAAGGGTCTTTACTGGGACCAATCCTATTCAACTTACTATAAATGATCTGGAGAAAGGGGTAAACAGTGAAGTGGCAAAATTTGAGATACCAGACTGCTAAAGATAGTTAAGACCAAAGCAACCTGTGAAGAGCTTCAAAAAGATCTCACCAAACTAAGTGATTGGGCAACAAAATGGCAAATGAAATTTAATGTGGATAAATGTAAAGTGATGCACATTGGAAAAAAATAATCTTAACTATATATACACAATATGGCGGGGACTAATTTGGCTATAGCTACTCAAGAGAGAGATCTTGGGAGTCATTGTGGACAGTTCTCTAAAAACATCCATTCAGTGTGAAGCGGCAGTGAAAAAAGCAAATAGAACATTAGGAGTCATTAAAAAGGGATAGAGAATAAGACAGAAAATATCTTATTGCCTCTGTATAAAACCATGGGATGCCCACATCTTGAATACTGCATCCAGATGTGGTTGCCTCAACTCAAAAAAGATATATTGGCATTGGAAAAGGTTCTGAAAAGGGGAACAAAAATGATTAGGGGTTTTGGAACAGGTCCCATATAGAGAGAGATTAAAAAGACTTCGACTTTTTAGCTTGGAAAAGAGGAGACTAAGGAGGGATATGATAGAAGTCTATAAAATGACTGGTATGGAAAAAATGAATATGGAAAGGTTATTTACTTATTCCCACAATATAAGAACTAGGGGCCACCAAATGAAACTAATGGGCAGCATGTTTAAAAAAAAGGAAGTTTTTCTTCACTCAGCACACAGTCACTCTGTGGAACTCCTTGCCAGAGGATGCGGTAAAGGCTAGAACTTTAACAGGGTTAAAAAACGAGCTAGATAGATTCATGGAGGTTAGGTCCATCAATGGCTATTTGCCAGGATGGGGAGAAATGGTGTCCCCAACCTCTGTTTGTCTGGATGTGGGTGACAGGGGAGGGATCACGTGAGGATTACCTGTTGTGATCCCTCCCTCTGGGGCATCTGGTATTGGCCACTGTCGGCAGACAGGATACTGGGCTAGATAGACCTTTGGTCTGACCCAGTATGGCCGTTCTTATGTTTGAGAGTTATACCTGTGTAACCTTACTGCCTTGAGTGAGATTCTAGATGTAACCATATTGTTTAGCTTGCAGAACCTTTGCTACTAGTGATGATATATGAGAAGAAAAGAGCTCTGGCTGATGCAGACTTGGAAACGTAGTACATTTTATATGGAATCACTGAGACAATAAGACTTGGCCCACCCAATACCATTTTTGTAGTCACTCTTTAGAGTAGGGCTGCACGTTTGGCTGTCAAAGCCATAAGAAAGAACAGTCACAGTTACTAAAATGCCCACTCTCTCTACAAGACAGAGCAATTACTTCAGAGAGCCACTTATCCTGCACCAAATTTTGCAACACTTGCTCAGCTTCCTTTTTCTTCATTTTCTTTGTTTTAAGTTGATCAGCCAAGTTTAAAATATTTGTGGAAGATGCAAAGCCACTTTCTGATAAGATGATCAGATCCATCTGCAGAAAGAAAAATACCCGTGAGAAAAAAAAATACAATTGGTCAGCCACAGATCTGGGCTAAGTGCAGCGTGGATGGGTTTTTTTTTAAGCACGTAGCTTAAACATACTATAAAATGCAACATATAATGCAAATATTTCAGAAAATTAACACAATTTAGGGGCTCTTGGAAGTGTTAACCTGCCATGAGGGGATAATTCCACAACTCAGACTGCAAAAAAAGGGGGTTACAGGAAGCAATGTTGAACACCTTTTAACAAACTGCAATGATGCTGCATAATGGATGCATCCTCCACACCATCAAGGTATCTGTGTCTTGAGGAGGCTTGAGATTGGGCTTCCTTGATGAAAGAGCTTTATCCATCAGGAAGGAATTCACTCTGACTGGATTCATGTGCATAACTGAATGTACTTGGTACTCTTAGGATGAATTGGAACTCCCAGTTTTCAGAAATTCTATCTTTGCTTTAGCTTCAGTGCAAAACCTATGATGGCAACAAATCTTAGAGCACTAGTGAAAGTAGTACACATGCACTTTTAGTACAGTATCTCTGCTCAGCGCAACTCTAGATAAGAGCTGACAGTAACCTCTGTTTTGACCTACACTGTTGACCACATCAGTGAAGATGCACCAGTCTTACACCAACAGTGAGAATACTTCTGAAAATTGTCAGTGCAAATGAGACTTTTGGACAAACTTCATATTGAGGCCCGTGAGGAATGGATGATAGGACATGAAGCAATGGGCTTAAATTGCAGCAAGGGAGGTTTAGGTTGGACATTAGGAAAAACTTCCTATCAGGGTTATTAAGCACTGGAATACATTTCCTAGAGAGGTTGTAGAATTTCCATCATTGGAGATTTTTAAGAGCAGGTTAGACAGACACCTGTCAGGTATGGTCTAGATCAGTGGTCTCCAACCTTTTTACATCCCAAGATCACTTTTTAAATCTCAGAACATCCTTCCCCCAAGACCCCACCCCTTCCTTGAAGCTCCGCCCTCTCTATTCTTCTCCTCTCCATCACTTGCTATTCCCAGCCCTTATACAGTCTACACTGCCACTTTTTTTTTTTTCCAATTCTTACGTAGGGAGAAGTTTTTCCAACATTTGGCCTGTCTACACTGGACCAAATGTCAGAAAAACCCCTTCTTTTGGAATCCCCCTTGTTCCTCATGGAAAGAGGAATATAGGGGTTACCGAAAGAGCATGTTTGCTCTTCCACTAAAAAAAGCAGAAGAACAAACGCATCCCTGGATGCGGAAGAGTTTTTCCAGGATATCTCTGGAATTCTGAAAAAACTCCTGCAGTCTAGCCGTACCCTCACTGGGTTGAGACAGGATGTATGAGAATGAGGGATTTGGGTGTGGGAAAGGGTGAGAAGCGCAAGCTCTGGGGGGGATTTTGGATGCAGGAGGAGGTGAAGAAGGAGATGCAGGCTCAGGGAAGGGGCTCCAGGCTGGGGAGTGTTGGGATACTAAGCAAACCACAGGTTGGCCCCAACTAGGGGTTTGTTGGCCAGGCTTCATTTTTAAATAACCTAGGGTCTGGGGGAGGGGCGTGCAGGAGTGTTATAATGCTGCAGCCAGATGGGGGGGTTGGCCCCAACTAGGGGTTTGTTGGCCAGGCTTCATTTTTAAATAAAATACTATGTCAAATACAAAAAGTTTCTGCATTGTCTTTATTTATGAGAAGGGAAGGGAACCTGTTTTGAGTCGGGAGGTCACTGACCCACAGAAAAGTCAGTTGGGGCCATACAAGGGAGATGCAAAAAAACCAAAAAAAAAACACCTCCTCCCAGAACCCCCCCAAGCCTCACTAATCTGGCCCCAACTATGCTGGGGGGAGCAGGGGTACTAGTGGGTGCTGCAGCAGGGGACAGAGTGCTGGGGTGGGGGCAGGAGAGGGGACAGGGTGTTGGGGGGTAGGGGATAGGGTGTTAGGGGCATCAGAGGATGGTGCTGGTGTGGGGACAGGGCTCTGCAGCAGAGGACAAGGTGCCAGTGGGGAACAGGAGAGAGGAGACAGGGTTCTGCAGCAGGGGACAGGGTGCCAGTGGGAAACACGAGAGGGGACAGGGCTCTGCAGCAAGGGACAGGGTGTCAGTGGGGTTCTGCAGCAGGGGACAGGGTGCAGGTGGAGGCAGGGAGTCCAAGGCACCAGCCTCCTCCCAGGACTCCTCCCACCCCTCCGCAGAGGAGGGAAGCCCCCACGCGCGCACCTCCTCCAGGGCCAACTCCCCTTCCCGCAGAGGAGGGAAGCCCCAGCGCGCGCCTCCTCTGGGGACCCCCCCACAAGTTCCGGCACACCACACCACAGTTCTGAGGAAGGGGAGCAGCCAGCACACTTCCGGAACCGGCGCACAGCTGCAGGACTTCCATCCATTTTCACTGGAGGTAGGTAGTGGGGCTTCTTAGGCATGGGAGAAATGGGGGGGGGCCCGAATGCCTCGCGATCGACTGGTCGAACCCTCGACCGGTTGGTGACCACGGGTCTAGATGATGCTTGGTCCTGCCATGAATGCACAGGATTGGACTTGATGACCTCTCGTGGTCCCTTCCAGTTCTAATATTCCATGGTCAAGGCAAGCAATGCATCAATGTGGCTGTCCATAAAGAACAGATGTATTTATAGCAGTGGGATCCCCAAAACACACACAGTCCCCAAGAGTCACAAGGACTCACTAAACTCTTTACAAACAGAACTGAGCAACACTATAACAAGAAACCAATAAAAAAAAATCAGAATTCTTATCATGGGAAATTCTAGTGATAACACCATATACAATATCCTGCTTCATGTGAACCAATGGACACAACTGATGAGTGTAGAGTTTTGAAAACTGTTCAGGAGATGTCTGTCCATCTCGTTAGGTGGCAATGTCAATTGCTATCAATGCATATAATTCAGTGGCTAAAGCAGCAATATGCAACTCACTTCAGAGCAATCTTCATATCCAAGTACTAAATTATTAGTGTCAAGTTAAAGGGGTCCTAAAACCTTCTACTCCTGGATAGGACTGCCAAGTCATTGCTGGAAATTCTGGGACAGTGCTGCTCCAGAAAGAGGATTATTAACAAAAAACAGATCTCCCAAATCTTGGTCTGAGAAGCACTTTCTCATTATTGACTTCAATTTAACATTAATTTATCCCCTAGATGAAATGGATTTATGCCACACTTCTATTTTTTCAATTGATCTGTGGTACAACTAACAACTAGAAGCAAAAGCAATATAGTGGCTTACTCTTCAAGCAGATTTCACAGACTGCTCCTTTTAAAGAGGAGATGTCTTCTCCCCACAGTCTGATTTACTGAGTAACAAGCTAACATACTTACAGTTTTTCTGAACAATTCTAACTCATTTTCTGTATAGTCAGATGCCATCTTAGTTATTTCAGTTTCTGCCAGATTCACCTACAAAATAATACAGTTATTTAACTCAAACTGTTTGCACTTCAGAAGGGTAGCCAAGTTAGCCTGTAACTGAAAAAACAACCAATAGTCTAGCAGCACCTTAAAGATTACCAAAACACGTAGTTGGTGGTATGAGCTTTTGTGGGCACAACCCACTTCTTCAGATATCTTTGCACTGCCAGCCAGAACAAATCATGCATTATTTTAAAACAACAAGGTCACTTGTTGCAACAGCATGAAGGAACATTCATTCCTGAGTAGAAAACTTTTTATTAACAAAAACACCTCAATCCTGCCCGTATAGTACCTCCAGTACTCCTGCTGAGGGCATTTCCTGAGCAAATACTCCACACTGTGCACTAATGGAGACTAAGATATGAGTGAATTTTTCACTTATATTAAGCCAATATGTCAAATAAAGGTTTAGCTTCTAAAGTGAGTTGGAATGAAAGGTCATACAATAGAACAGCATTCAAAAATCCTGAAAATACCTAATAGCAAATAGTAATTTACTATGGTTAATAGTCGGCACTACTTCGTTAAGAAAAATAACAATACCTTGTTTAGCTTTTGTACTTTCTACCATTATGTATTATTAGTCCTATAAAACAGACACCAGGAGGTGAGGCATTGGTCAGGGTTGCACAAAGCACGTGATTCCCAGATCTCTGAAATCCCCAGACAATACTCTCTCTGACATTTATAATACAGAAATTCCAGATAAATTATTTGTAAATCATTTCCTAGCAAATATTTTCCACTCAGTGAATATTTGATTAGTAGGTGCAAAAAACCCATGTTGGGGAGCTTTGAGAGTTTTCCAGCTGAAGTGGCATATAGAAGAAAAAAATCTTCCTTTTAAAAAAAAATACCTCCTAATATTTAAGCTAAATAAATCAGACACTCCTTGCTGCCATGTTCCATTCCCTTGTGTCTATCATGTTAACAGTTTATCCTCACACTTTCCTGTTCTACATGTATCTACTATAGCAGCTGTCAGCATAAGACTGAAGGAGCCCAGCCAAAACAAGACAGCACTAAGTGTGAAAGTGTACTGGCAGATATATCCTCACTTGTACGATTCTATATGTTTGCTCAAACTCAAGGATGGCATATGAAGCATAGAAATTGAAGCTGTATTTGTTAAGCACTGGCAAAAATACTGTCCCTGCCTAAAAGAGCTACCAATCTAAAAGTATTAGGAGGAATGTGCACTTTTCATTGACATGTCATGCGTGAAGGCTCATTTTATGTTAAGTATAGAGATAATTCTCCCCCATTGCTGCATTCTTGAAATGTGACATTGGTTAGTTTTAGTAGTAGTTAGAAATTATCTCCACGAGGTGGCAGCATATCACACACTTACCAATGCATAATACGTTCTCCCATCATCTTCAGACATTCCTTTCCGGATCTGCATAAACAAAGGCTGCAGATGGAGGTTAACAACACTGATGAAGTCATCCAATTTATCATGAGCGTAGTAGACTGGAAATGTTAAAAAAACCAATCTGATTAAACAGTCATTTCCCATTTTACAGACTGAAATCCAACTCTGGGAAACAGGGCTTGTGACACCCATGCCAGGAAATTTGAACATTTATTTTACATTTATCTGGTATGTACTTGTCCTGTGCTCCTTTCATGTCACTGCTGATTACTAATGCAACACCAGCTTTCAAAAGAGTCCAGCCCTTGGGATTTCAGCAGCTATACTCAAAAACTCTTATGTTTGTTGCTTGGCTCTTTGGTTACCACAGAATTATCCATTCCAGCTGGTCAATTTGAATGGAGTTATTTAAACTGAATAAAAAGTTATCATATAGGCTAATCTCCCATGCATAATGAACAAATATATCTGTGCATGCTTCTGTTTGTGATCGCCTTGCATACCATGGATTGATAATAAATTCTGACATTTGGTGCCATATCCTATAAGAAAAAATTCAGCAGCAGAAATGAGACTGCAGACATCACTGAGACATGGAAGAAAGCAGGTAAAGCAGTCTTGGTCCCCACATGGGCACAGCACCATCTCCACACAAGGATTCTGGCAGAATTCCCACGGACTTCACTGGGAATAGGATTTCACCCTTACTGTTTAGAGGTAGCTTTCACAACTTTTTTAACCAATAAAGTTATTTCTTGCAAGATCTCTTGGAGTATTCAGAGTGTTCACTAATGGGTATTAGGCTGCCTCAATTTCAAGAGCTACCATCCATATTACAGGAGCACCTGGAAGCCTCAGCTATGGCGCTAGGTCCATTGTGCTGAGTGCTGTACAAATGTGTATTCCAAAGGCAATCCCTGCCCTCGAGAACTCACAATCTAGGTTTATGACAAGGCTCCAAAGATGGATTCATGAGGTAAGAGTAAAATAAGCATGCATTTGCATTATTAATTTGCCTGACCATAATAAGGTGGCTTCATGGCAGAGGAGAGTCTTAAAGAAGGATCTCAAAGAGTAGTCGTTACCGGAATATTTGTTTGGGAAACAACCATTTGAATTTTAGATGAAAGGCTGCTTACACTAGCAAATCCTCCCATCATGGAGGGAAATAAAAATTCCCCAAAAATGTATTGGGGGGATTGGTCATGTTCCCTTCCGAATCCTGTGCTCAATAATTTTAACACATGTAAAATTAGTTTGCACACTTGCTGGTGCTGGTGTAGGAGAAATAAAGAGTATCATAAATCTGTGACAAAGGTACTAAAAGCAGCTGTAGCAAAACTCTGCTGGAAAGAGTATTAAGGTTGAAAACCAATCTAACTGAATGGACAGAAATTGATCATATTTTTGTACTGAAAACTATCTAACATTGGCAGGTCTGAGAAAAAATGTGGACAGGATTAGTTTTATATTTCCAAGATGTGGCTATTTACACATTACCTTTACCGCTCTGCTCATTGGCTGTACACTGTATCATGTCTGTCTGTAGGTTGGAAATTCCTTGGAGCAGGGATCATGCCCTCTTTTCTCTTTGTAAAACACCTAAAATAATGGGTGCTCTTGGAAATACATTATACAGATACCTGCAGTTTCCTGGAGGTATCAAAGGGATGCATTGTGTCATCACAAAATCCAGGAAGATATAAGATGAGTATCTAAGCCAAGACCCACTTTTATTCCAAGATTAAAACTAAACCCGTTTTCCAGCCAGCTGGGTGTTTTAGATTTGTTTTAACTATATCAGTTTGGTAAAAAGTTGAAGCTTGCCAAAAATTAGTGGGGACCGTCTTTTAGTAACAATAAGTTGTCTCTTTCGTTAAGTCAGAGAACACAGTCTAATTTAATGCGTTATCAGAGATGTTGGCTAATGAATAAAGCAAAGCTGTTCACAGCATAGAAAACAAAGCTTATACTAGAACCAGATAGTGTTCTTTATCCTCTCTAGAAATGAGTCCCAGCCCTGAACACTCAGTAGATATGCACATGGTTGGACAATAATGTGTGGCAGCATTGGGAGTAAAGCTCATTATCTGCATTCATAGAAGCACTTTGGAGCTTTTTCTCTGGCAGAAATTCAAGGGCAATTGACAGATCATCAGAGTAGTAACTAAATGAGATGCTGTAAACAATCTGATTTTATTTTAAGCTGGATACAAACTTATAATAATAAACAAGACCATCAGTCCCCGGCCAGATCACAAGCTGGAGGTCGCCTCTGGAACTAGGGACTTTATCTGAGGTCTCTGTGCTTCTCCCAGGAACTGTGAGTACATAGCAAACAAAATACTGCTTTATCTTTTGGTTAATGATCATTCTAACTCAGACACTGGGCTGAGTATTAATCTCCTCTTTTAGACAAGTAAAAAAGTAATAGCAAAGAATGAGAGAGATAAAGACCAGGGAGTCTTTACTACTTAGGATTGTTCTGAGAAACAACAGTTTCTTCATACAAGCCCAAACACAAATTTAGGGACCCCTTCTTTAGGACAAAAGACTGTAAACAATGTTAGTAAGGGCTAAGAAATAAGACAGTCCTTTATTTGCAGGTCTTTACTTGACATCTAAGCATATGGTTTATTACCCTATTGTGTATATTTAATCTCCAGCTATACAGATGTCAGTTATGCAGGAGAGAGAAAATTGAGATTCTACTCTGAAAAGTGACAATGTAAAAACAGCACCTTGTATCTTTGCACTTTGACACAAAAGTCATGGAGAAACAATGTAATACTCAGTCACTATTTACAGTATAACTCCACTAAGAAAAATGGCACCTATATAATAATCTTCAGCGTTCAGCACACAATTTTTTAGGGTTTAGCATTAAACAAAAATCAGAATGAACCACGAGACTATAAGATTAATTTGGATTGTAAATTCATGGTGTTCTGTTTTGATTTCACAGTAAATTAAAGGTTTCACTGAGAAACACTTAACTTCTCCATTTCATCTAATTATTCCTTAAGTGCAAACTTAAAAAAAAAAGCTTTCATGAAAAGCTCCCCATCCTACTTTCAGTCTTGCCAAATCATGTAATCTATTACATGTCAATAAACAAACAAATCCCTAAAAACATCTGAGAGATCTGCTTGTTAGTCTGTCAGACCCATATTATTATTAGCTGCATTCACATTAAGACAGTTTCACAGGTTTCAACTGTATTTATCATATGGACTGATTCAAATGGTTATACTTGAGCACATCTTTTTCACTAGCTTTCCTGGGTTTTTCAGGTTCAGCATTTACACATGCAGAGATCAGAACAAGCCTGTGCTTTGGTTTAGTTGGTTAGGATTGGGGAGGACTGGGTATTTATTTTTTAAATGAAGAGGTTACTTACTTCGTAACAGTTGGTTTTCGAGATGTGTTGCTCATGTCCATTCTGACTAGGTGTGCGCACGACGCATGCATGGTCTCCGGAGCTTTTTCCCCTTAGCAATCTCCATAGTGCCAGCAGGGCGCCCCCTGGAGCGGTGCCAGTATACCAGTGCATATATACCCCTGCTGGCACCTCTACCTCCTCAGTTCCTTCTTGCCGACTCCTTCCAACAAGGGGAGGTGGATGAGATTTAGAATGGACATGAGCAACACATCTTGAAGAACAACAGTTACGAGGTAAGTAACCTCTTCTTCTTCGAGTGCTTGCTCATGTCCATTCTGACTAGGAGAGTCCCTAGCCATTCCCTTGGAGACAGGGTCGGAAGGTGACCTACATCTATACTTCTGCAGATTTGAGAACTGCTGCCCCCAGCACAGTGTCCTCCCTTGCCATCTGTGTAATTGCGTAGTGTTCCGCGAATGTATGCACCAACGACCACGTAGCTGCTCTACAGATCTCTAAGGTAGGCACCTGTGCTAGAAATGCTGCCGATGTCGCCTGAGCCCTCATGGAGTGGGCTGTCAGCCTAGGCACCAGCTTGCCTGCACTCTCGTAGCATTCCCGGATGCAGGAAGTGATCCACAAGGATAAGCGCTGCCACTGAGATAAACAGCTGTGGTGATTTATAAAATTCCCAAGTCCTGTCTATGTAATACACTAATGCCCTCCTGCCATCCAGACAGTGCAAGGCCTGTGCCCTGGGTGTGGAGTGTGGCTTTGGGTGAAACACTGGCAAATAAATGTCATGAGAGAGGTGGAAATGCGATATTACCTTGGGTAGGAACCCTGGGTGAGGACGGAGCCTCACCTTGTTCTTAAAGAACACCGTATACGGGGGTTCAGAGGTCAGTGCTCTAAGTTCTGACACCCTTTTTGTCAAAGTGATAGCGACCAAAAAGGCTACCTTATAGGACAAATGTTTCAGAGAGCACGAGGCTAGAGGTTCGAATGGGAGCTTCATGAGGCCCTTTAGGTCCCAAAGTGGGACTGGCGGTTGTTCATATGGGAACCATCTGTCCACTCCCTTCAGGAACCGTTTGACCATTGCATTAGTGAATATGGATCTGTGTCCCTCGGTCGGGTGAAAAGCCGCTATTGCTGCCAGATGCACCCTGAGTGAGGACGTGGCAAGGCCTTGTCCCTTCAGGTGGAGGAGGTAGTCCAGGACTAGCGGGACAGCCGCTTCCCCCTGGGGAAGTACTCTATCTCCCAGCCATGATCTGAACCTTTTCCATTTAGCCTCGTACAACGTCCTGGTAGATGGCTTTCTACTTTCTATCAACACCTCCCGAACACCTCTAGAGCAGGCTTGCTCTATCTGTGACAGCCATCCAGGCGCCACGCTGCCAGGTGCAGTGATGCCAGACTCAGGTGTATCACCATCCCGTTCTCACGCTACTGGGAAATTAAATCCGGTAGGAGTGGCAGCATCAGGGGCCCTTCTATTGTGAGTTCTAGGAGAGTTGCGAACCAGTGTTGACGAGGCCACTCTGGAGCTAGGAGGATTAACTGTGCTCCGTATTTCATTACCCTGATCACAACTTCGTGAACCAGAGGGAACGGGGGAAATGCGTACAATAGACCCTTGGGCCACACTAGCTGTAATGTGTCCCCTTTTGACCTTAGGCCGTGGCCCATATATGAGCAATATTTTGTGCA